GCACCCCAACCTCCTGCCCTGAACCCCCTGCCTGCACCCCGCACCCCTCCTGCCCCCGCACTCCTCTGCCCCAATCCCTTGCCCTGAGCCCCTTCCTGCACACTGCATCCCCTCCCACACCCCGCACTCCCTCCTGCACCCCAACCTTTATGATGTACGCCTTTAAAAAAAAAATTCCCTGGGTGCACTCCCTAATGAAATGTGCTGTGCACGCCTATGACTGAGGCTACCAATTATGAGTGGCTGTTAGAGACATAATTCATATGTTTTGTTTTTTCCCATAGGACTCTGAAATAAGTACAGTGACTGGCTTTTCACAGACTGATGGCTGATCGAGTGCTTGTGATTGGCAGTGGAGGCAGAGAGCACGCTCTGGCCTGGAAATTGGCACAATCTCCACATGTAAAACAAGTGCTAGTCGCTCCAGGAAATGCAGGAACAGCTGATAATGGAAAGATTTCAAATTCAGGTAATAGAAAGCAAATAAATGATATTTCAAGCTGTGCGCACGTATATAGATGTGTGAATATAAACAAAAACGGTTCAATATTATATGTTGAATCAGTAGAAATTAACAGTGTGTCTTATTCTTTTCCACAAAAGATACCACAAATTATACCACATGCAAATAATTTTTGCTGTTTTTTTTTTTTTTTTTTAATGGTCAGATTATCTGATAAAACACTTACTCCTGGGGGCATTCTGCGCATGCACAGCATTTCTGTCCCCTGCAAATTTCTTTGCTTCCCTTTAGAAAAATGACTTTCTGACAGGGAAGCAAAGGGAAGCCACTAGAGCGGTCATGAAACCCTGCCCAGCAGTATGTTTCAGGTGCCTAGGGCAGCTGGCAGAGAGATAAATCACTGTGGGGCAGGAGACAGGATTAGGGAAGACCTGGCTGGTGGCTCCTACCCTCTGCCGGGCTCAGCTGTTAGTCACAGCTGGGCTGGGGAGGATGGGACTTCCTCTACCCCTGTACGGCATCTGGGGCTGGGTCAGACCCCCCCCCCCGATTTCTCCCCTGGTTGCAGAAAATTTTGCAAAACTCCCCCCCACCCACCCTCCTGCACTTATCGCTCCTCAGCTGCATGGGGACAAATGGATTCCTCACAAGGCATATTAATACGGAACTTTGTGTAATTCATTTAAATGACAATACAGAATTGTATTTCCTGCACCTGTCAGAAGCAGTGCAAAGACTTGGGGGAGTCAGGGGTAATGGAAGAGCTGAGGGAGAGGGAAGGAGCATAGCGGTGTGGGTGGGAGCTTTTGCTTTGATGGGGGGGATTGTTAGGATGTTGGGAAGCCTCCCCCATGCAGATCCTGGCTGACTCCAAGCCTCTCCCATTGAGTCAGGCATATCTACCTCTGTCCCCACACCCCTCATCTCCATGGGTCTCTGCAGCCCCTCTCCACCGTCCCCAGGCTCAACACTGTCACCCATTAGGTCCTGAGCCCATGCTCCAGTCTGACCCCCGAGTAGCCATTCTGAACCGCAGTCTGTGGCCCCCCCCGCAGCCCTGTGTGCCCCACTCTGTCCTAACCTGGCTCTGCGAACAGGGTGCTGTGATGAACTCTTACTCCTGGGGGAATTCTACAGCACTGGGTATAGAATTTTGTATTTTCCTGCATAAAATACATTTTGCCTAAGAAGTGCTGCAGTTCCATCTTCCGCCCACCAGAGGTAGCTCTGGTGCTAGAACGCCTTTTTATTTTTAAAAAGAACAGGAGTACTTGTGGCATCTTTTGTTAGTCTCTAAGGGCCGGTCTACACTGGGGGGGGGGGGATCGATCCAAGATACGCAACTTCAGCTATGCAAATAGCGTAGCTGAAGTCGAAGTATCTTGGATCGAATTACCTGGGGTCCAAACAGCACGGGATCGATGGCCACGGCTCCCCCATCGACTGCGCTACCGCCGCTCGCTCTGGTGGAGTTCCGGAGTTGACGGTGAGCGCGTTCGGGAATCGATATATCACGTCTTTAACGAGACGTGATATATCGATCCCGGATAAATCGATTGAAGACGTACCCTAAGGTGCCACAAGTACTCCTGTTCTTTTTGCGGATACAGACTAACACGGCTGCTACTCTGAACCCTTTTTATTTTTAAAATGTGCTAGTCCATTTGTATAAACATGTTTTAAAAATGTTTACTTGGGATACCCAAAATAAACATAGCGTAATTAATATTTAATGACTGTATAGTTATCAGATATTGTGCATAACTTTCAGTTATCTATTCTGGACTCCATTTTTAGTTCTATTTCAGTTTTGATAACGTCTGTAAGGGCTTAACACCCTTTAAGTTGTTCAGCTCTCCTTTTGCCTATACTATCCTATTCCAACACTGTTTGGGGGTGGAATTATAACCCCCTTTGTCTTTGATTCAGTGTACAAGTGTTTTATACTTGTAACTTAAGTTATATATCTTTATTCTTTTCAGCTGTGTTAGTCAGCAATCATACTATCCTTGCCCAGTTCTGCAAAGACCATAACATTGGACTTGTGGTAGTTGGACCAGAGGCACGCTTGGGAGCTGGTAAGGTTAGAATAAATTCTCTTGTTTGAAAAAGCCAAATGCCTTGAATTTATCTTAAAAGAAAAATAATCATATTGAAGTTTTAAACTGTATTCTATCCTTAATTTAACTGAAGTGTGAGAATATTCTAGGTTTTTCTCTATACTGTACATGTAAGATTATTTTATGTCTAATTTTTGCTTCATAGCTGTGTACATGTTAGACATCATGTGGGAAATGTGCAGTCACTGAATGGTCTCACTACAAGGCTTTGTAAAATAAGATTAAAAGTCTCTTGAAATCAAATGATGAAACAGGTAGCTTAATCCATTTGTAAAATAACATTTTGAGCATTAAACTGTTCACTATAGCAAAGGACATAGCAGGCTGCTTGGATGGTGCTTTGGGAGGTACTTAAGAACATAAAAACGGCCCTACTGGGTCAGACCAAGTATCCTGTCTTCTGATAGGGGCCAATGTCAGGTGCTTCAGAAGGAATGAACAGAACAGATAATTAACAAGTGATCCATCTCCTGTCTCCCATTCCCAGCTTTTGGCAAACAGGGGTAAAGACACCATCCCTGCCCTCCTTGGCTAATAGCCCTTGATGGAATCGATCCTCCATGAACGTATCTAGTTCTTTTTTGCCTCTATATAAAACCACATCTTGAATTCTGCATGCAGATCTGGTTGCTCCATCTCAAAAAGGGTATATTGGAATTGGAGAAAGTACGGAAAAGGGCAACAAAAATGATTAGGGACTTTTCAGCTTGGAAAAGAGACTGCTAAGGGGGGATATGATAGCAGTCTATAAAATCATGACTGGTATGGAGAAAGTAAATAAGGAAGTGTTATTTACTCCTCATAACACAAGAACTAGGGGGCACCAAATGACATGTAGGCTTCCATGCTAACAGTGCCCTGAATATTTTTAAATGAGGGATGAGAACAAAAATAAAATGGTAATAAAGCACACAAACCCATCAATAATATAAAGATGTTATAGAATAACGGCCTTCACCAAACAAGGACACTTCACTAGAGAAGTAGATTGCATTATGGAACAGGTCACCCAAATACCCTGAGAGAACCTGCTTCAATTCAGAAGAAAAGAACCCTCCAACACACCCTCCTAGTTGTCACCTACCACCCCACAATGGCACACACAGGGAGTATCATTAAACAATTACGGCTTATACTTGATGGGGATCACATCCTGAAAGAAATCTTTCCTGAACCCCCTCTTCTGGCCTTCAAACAACCCTCCCAACCTTTCCAAGCTCATTGTCAAAAGCAAGCTCCCCACAGATCAGGACACTCCAACTCAAAGCAGCACCAGACCCTGGCATAACAACAGATGCAAAACCTGCAGATATATCTCCACTGCTACGATGATTAACTCCCAGCACAACGCTTCTTTCAAGATCCATGGGTCCTACACATGCCTCTCACAATATGTAATGTACCTTATCCAGTGCACTAAATGCCCCAATAACAACTGAGTGGGTGAAATGAGACAGTAACTATGTCTTGAATTCACACAGAAAAATGACAAAAGACAAAAAGACCGCGTCACCTGTGGGTGAACACTTTTCATGAAATGATCACTCCATATCTAACCTCTCAGTTCTCATCCTCAAAGGAAACCTGCACAACACCTTCAAAAGACGAGCCTGGGAGCTTAAATTCATAACAGTGCTAGATACTAAAAATTATGGTCTTAATAAAGAAACTGGATTTATGGCTTATTACAACAATGTATAACCCATTAACCCCCCTTTTTTTGTCCTATGACTGGAGAGTTTTTAACAGGCCACTTCACCTTGAATGGTCTCTTAGAATATGTGTTAACTACTTATGCTAAACAATTTGTCCCACCTTGTATTTACTTCTGACACTCTTGAATACCTTTCCCAGACCTGAAGAAGAGCTCTGTATAAGCTCGAAAGCTTGTCTCTCTCTCTCTCCAGCAGAAGTTGGTCCAATAAAAGATGTTACCTCACCCACCTTTCTTCTATTATAGCAGTGGTTTTCAACCTTTTTTTTCATTTGTGGACGTCTAAAGCATTTTGAATGGAGGTATGGACCCCTGTGGAAATATTAGACACAGTCTGCAGACCCACAGGGGTCTGCGGACCATAGGTTGAAAACCACGGTCTTATAGAATAAAAAGGCCATCTTAGGTAGACGTTTGAATATTTGAGTGCATTTATCTTTTGGCACTTTTCAATTACTAGGAATTGTGGATGACTTGATGTCAGCTGGCGTGAGATGTTTTGGTCCCTCAGCCAAGGCAGCTCAGCTAGAGACCAGTACAAGCTTTGCCAAAGCCTTTCTGGATTGTCATGGGATCCCAACAGCAAGATGGAAAGCATTTGCCAACCGTCAAGAAGCTTGTAGCTTTATTACCAGGTAAACCATCCATCACTTGAAGCTTATTCACTTTTTCAAGTATCTTGTATATTTGGTCTTACCCATGGGTGTGAGTATAATAGGCCAGGGAAGGCTAAACCTCCCCTGGCAGAGCCGCTGCTGCGGGACAGTGGGTTGTGGGTTTTTGCTTATTATGTGCTATGCAGGTTCCAGGGCAGCTGAGGCAGTGATATCTGCTATTCAGTTTCCTGGGTTCACCAGTAATCTCCCTGGACTCTAGAGAGATTACTGAAGAACCCGGGAAGCTGAGTAGCAGATACTGCCTCCTCAGCTGCTCCGAACCTGCATAGCACATATAAAAAGCTCAGCATTCATCTGCTGGGGGTCTCGGGAGGCGAGGCGCACTGCCTTTCCCATTCTCCAGCTCGGGTTGGTCATCCAGCACAGTGAGGCCAGCCTGGGGCTCCTCCGTTGGCGACGGGAGTGGATTGGGGTTCCGCCAGCCCAGGGCTTCTCTGGCCACAGGAGGAGGGGCGCAGGGCACCTGCCATGCATTGAGTCCACAAATTGTGTTTTCTCTTATGTCATCTATTACGTGTGGTAGTATCAATGAGAACAGGCATTTAACAATAAAATGTTTCTTCTTACTAATTTTACCCAAACAAGTTCTACTACGCTATTTTCTATTATAGTTATGCAAAGGAACTTTGATATGTAAACAATAAAAGAACCTACAACACAAAGAAGAAAAGCAATCCCAGATTGACATACACTGCAGAATATGAGCTTTTTGTGCTTGCTCCTGCTTCTAATTGAAGTCAAGAATTGGGCTTTGTGTCAGTGGTTTAAAATATGAAAAAGAAAACGTGCGATATCCGAAAATGTGTGTCTGTTTGCATGCTGGTGTTATGAATAATCTGTTCAAATATTCCATTTAGTTTTGCTATCCACAGGGCCGGCTCCAGGCACCAGCTCAGCAAGCAGGTGCTTGGGGCGGCGAAGGGGAAGTGGCGGCACGTCTGGCTGTTTGGTGGTGGGTCCCTCAATCCCTCTCGGAGGGAAGGACCTGCCACCAAATAAGAAAGCGGCGCGGTGGAGCTGCCGCCAAAGTGCCGCCGATCACGATCGTGGCTTTTTATTTTATTTTATTATTTTTCCGATGCTTGGGGCGGCAAAAACCCTGGAGCCGGCCCTGGCTATCCAATATCTGAGGGAGGAGGAAAGATGTATAAAATGTGGTTAAGCTATCTTTCGGAATTGGATAATAAATCATTTTATGCTCAAAGAATACACGTTGTAATGTTGCGTAAACTACACCATATTCCTCATGTAACACAGTAGCTGAATCCCTGCTTTAAGTGCAAAACTCAGCATTAATTATGACTGTGACCTGCACACTGAGCGAATGTCAGAGCCTGCACTAGTTCTCAGGAGTTCCTGGTTGCCAGTCCTGTGTTTCGGCCACAAGACCACGTTAAGTCTATCTGAAAATATGACATGTAAGATTGGCACAAGCAGGTACATTTTAATGTATAATTCCTCAGAAAAAGGGGAAAATTGTAGAAGTGTTCAACTTAGAAATTTACCTTTTAGAGGATGCATTGGAGATGTCTGATCCTGACTCTAATGTGCCCTGCCATCACTTATAGCACAGACTTTCCTGCACTGGTTATAAAGGCTAGTGGCCAAGCTGCTAGAAAAGAAATAATTATTGCAGCCAGCAAAGAGGAAGCCTGCAGAGCTGTGCAAGAGATTTTGCAGGTAAGCTACCCTTTGTTTAAATACTGTGAGGTCTGATTCTCGTTGCCTGGTGACCTGGAAGAAATGAACTTGAGGATTTCACTCTGTTCTCTAGCCCAAGCAGACAAGTGTTTTTCATCACAAAACCCACCACTTTGTTGGGCTGAGAGCTGAATGGACCTTGAAACTGAATTATTTTCTTAACCTAAGGAGGTTCCCTCCAGCTCAGGGCTGGTGTACTGGGAAACTTACTCTGCTGCTGTCTATGCTGTACCTGTTCTCTGGGTAAAAGGAAGGCTTCAGTCACCAAAACTGACTGTTTCTTGTGACTGTGGGCCATTTTCCTGATGCCTTGCCCAGGCATATATCTGGGCAGAGTTCCTCTGGGTGGCATCTATTGATTCCTTTGACCCTTTCTCATGGCAATGGGTGTTGACCAGTGTTCTCTGCTCAGTTTCCCCCTCTAGATCCCTCATTTTGTATCTGTGATCTTCACCCCCTTTTTTTTTTTTGTCCCGTATGTAATCAGTTAAGTTCTGGGTTCTGTGGTGCCTCTCTGGTCTGAGGGGGATGGTCTTTTCATTACTTTGATTGTCTCTGCCCAGAATCCCAGGATTAACATAAGCTGGCTCTTTTCATATACATCTCTACTCCGATATAACGTGACCTGATATAATATGAATTCAGATATAACACGGTAAAGCAGTGCTCCAGGGGTGGGAGGGGGGACTGCACACTCCGGCGGATCAAAGCAAGTTCGATATAACGCAGTTTCACCTATAACACGGTAAGATTTTTTGGCTCCCAAGGACAGCATTATATCAGGGTAGAGGTGTACTTTGTCTTTCCTTCTCTTTGCGATGCTTTTCTTTTTTAAAGAGAAGACGATCTAACTGATGGATGTCACAGCTAATAACTAAAGAATATTTTTAATGCAGGATAAAGTGTTTGGAGAGACTGGAGAGACGGTTGTCATTGAAGAACTTCTTGAAGGGGAAGAGCTATCTGTATGTTCAGTTTTGGCTCAATAGTTTGGTCACAAATCCTTTTATGCACTTGTATTGTTGTTACACTTTTTGCCTAAAAGCATGAATTCTTCATTTTAACTAGTCTGTGTTTTATATGGCAACCACATAAATATGTAAGACATGCAGTCTGATGTCAAGTTAGTCAATATACATTCTCAGTACAACCCTACATTAACCATAAATATGCAGTAACTGTGATCTGTGGGGGTGAATTGATTCTCTAGAGGAGAAAAAAAGGATTTGCTGATTTTTAATATATCCACTTTGCTGTAATTCTTGCATTACATCCTAAATTGTTGTCCCAATGCTTAGTTCACTTTTTGTATCTGTAAATACAGTTGTGGTCCCTTCCTTGCTGTAGACTATATGTTACTCATCTGCAGGATACAATTTAAGCTTACCTGTATGGCACAGGTCTGGATGTTGTGCCACAGTTACAAGATGAATTCTCTACACAAGATTTTACTCCATTACCAAAGATAATATTTTGCTCTCTTTTAGGCCCTGATCCTGCAAATATTTACTCTGTGCTTAATTTTAAGCACTTGAATGGTTCCAATGAAGTCAGTGGGACTACTCACATGCCTAAAGATAAGCATAAATTGTTGAATCAGGACCTTAATGTACCCAGCCCTGATAGTATAGTAGAAGGGAATTCTTATATGTGGCCCTCACCAGTCAAAACCATTTTCTCCAGAAATCTTTGTTAATACCTAAATAAATAATTAAGACAGGCTACTCCTTGTAGTCAGTGGAGTTACAACAAGATGAATTTGGCCCATTGTTTTCTAGTTTTGAACCTTAAATACTAATGACAGGGCTAAATCTGTGGTCTTCTGAGCTGATTTCAGTTAATACAGAACATAACCATTTGAGTACATTCTGTGATGTTTGTCTTTCTTTATAGTGCTTGTGCTTCACTGATGGTGTCACTGTTGCTCCCATGCCACTAGTCCAGGCCCACAAACAGTTAATGGATGGAGACCAGGGTCCAAATACTGCAGGGATGGGAGCTTATTGCCCAGTACCACAGGTGTAGTGATCTTTTGATTTTATTTTCCAAATTTACTCATGAAATGTAATTAAGCATTGATGAATTTGTTAATAAGGGCCCAATTCTGTTGCCATTGTGTAGGCAAAACTCCCTGTGAAGTCAGTGCTTTATTTGCATAAGGATATGGAGCCCCAGTCCTATTATTCATTCTTGGACTTCAGATTTGAGTTCTGGGAAATGGTCTCCCTTGTGGTTTTTCTGTTAATTTTAGGAATGGTGTGCCTCCCAAGCTGTTAGCAACTTTGGAAATGAGCACACACTTAAAAAAGTGGACCTGTGTAATTCCCGACATATCTGGAGGCTTTCTGTATCTTAAACATGACCTTAGTTAATGATTTCAGAATTGTTATATTTTTTGGTAACAAAGAATGTTTGTGACCAGCTGCTTAACGCAGTTAACATTAACCTGGAGAAGGAACACAAGCAAGAACAGGTTAAAGAATATTTAGATAAGATAGATGTATTCAAATCAACAGGGCCTGATGACCGAGGATATTTAAGGAGCTAGCTGAAGCATTAACATTGATCTTCGAGAACCTATGGAGGATGGGTGAGGTCCCAGAAGATTACAGAAGGGCAAACATCTTTTAAAAAGGGGGAAAAAAGAGGACGTGGAGAATTATAGACCAGTCAGCCAAACTTTGATACCTGGGAAGATACTGAAAGAAACTATCAAACACATTTTTAAGCACCTAGAAGATAGTAGTATGATAAGTAATAACTAACAAGGATTTGTAAAGAATAGATAGTGCCAAATTAACTGAATCGCCTTCTTTGACAAGGTTATTAACCTAGTGGATGCAGGGGAAGGAGGGGAAGAAGTAGATGTATATACTGTATCCTGATTTTAGTAAGACTTGACATAGTTCCCAATGACATTCTCATAAACTACTAGGGAAATGTAGGCTAGATGAAATTACTATAAGGTGGGTGCACAAGGGTTGAAAGACCGTACTCAGAGAGTAGTTATCATTGGTTTGCTGTCAAACTGGGGGGACATATCGAGTAGGGTGCTGCAGGAGTCTGTTCTGGTCCAGTACTGTGTTTATAAAATTTGTGGATGACCCCAAGCTGGGTGGGGTTCTGTAAGCATTTTGGAGGCCAGGGTTAGAATTCAAAATGACCTTGACAAACTGGAGAATTGGTCTGAAATCCACAAATCAGTAAAGACAAGTGCAAAGTGCTACACTTAGGAAGGAAAAATCAAATGCATAACTGCAAAATGGGGAATAACTGGCTAGTTAGATGGTAGTACTACTGAAAAGGATCTGGAGGTTATTGTTGATTCATATTCAATTTGTGATCTGTTAATACACCCAAGAATGTTATTAATAGGAGTGTTGTAGGTAAGACAAGGGAGGTAATTATCCTGCTCTGCTCAACACTCCTGAGGCCTGCCTGGAGTTCTGTGTACAGTTCTGGGCATAGGCGCCAACGATGCTTAGCACTCACTGGCAGCCAACCTCCCCCCTACTCCCCCGCTAGCGCCTCCTGCCGCCAGTGGCCCTACCGATCAACTCTTCCCCCTCCCTCCCAGTGCTTCCTGCCTGCCGCGATCAGCTGTTCCGTGGTGTGCAGGAGGCACTGGGGAGGCAGGAGGAGAAGCGGGGATGGGACGTGCTTAGGGGAGGGGGCAGGAACAGGTGGGGTGGAGGCGGGCCTGGGAGGAAGGGGTGGAGTGGGGGGTGGGGCCTGGAGCAGAGGTAGGAACTTGGGGAAAGGGGTGGGGTGGGATCTGGGGCTGAGTCGGGGTTGAGCACCCCCGGGGAAAGGAAGAAGCTGGTACTTGTGGTTCTGGGGCTACACTTCAGGAAAGATGTGGACAAATTGGAGAGAGTTCAGAGGAGAGCAACAACAATAATAAAAGGTCAACAAAACCTGACCTATAAGGAAAGTTTTAAAAAAACTGGGCATATTTAGTCTTGAGAAAAGAAGACTAAGGGGGGACTTGATAAGTCTTAAAATATGTTAAGGGCTTTTATAAAGAGGACTGTGATCAGTTGTTTTTCATGTCCACTAAAGGCAGGACAAGTAGCAAGGGAGACTTAAGGTAGATATGAGGAAAAACTTTCTACTATAAGGGTAGTTAAGTACTGGAATAGGTTACTGAGGGAGGTTGTGGAATCCCTATCATTGGAGGTTTTTAAGTATAGGTTAGACCAGAGGTTCTCAAGCTGTGGGTCGGGACCCCAAAGTGGGTCGCGACCCTGTTTTAATGGGGTCACCAGGGCTGGTTGAGACTTGCTGCGGCCTGGGGCTAAAGCCAAAGTCCGAGCCCCACCGCCTTGGACCAAAGCCCAAGCCCATGACGGTGGGACTCAGGTTACAGGCCCCCTGCCAGGAGCTGTAGCCTCTAGGCTTCAGCTTTGCCCCCCACCCAGGGGTGGTGGGGCTCAGGCTTTGGCTTTGGGCCCCCCCGCCTGGGGAGGCAGGGCTTGGGTGGGCTCAGGCTTCAGTTCCCCCTCCTGAGGTCATGTAGTAATTTTTGTTGTCAGAAGGGGGTTGCGGTACAATGAAGTTTGAGAACCCCTGGGTTAGACAAAAACCTGTCAGGAATAGTCTAGGTATACTTGAACCTGCCTCAATTCAAAGCACTGGACTCAATGACTTCTTAAGATCCTGCAGCAATAACAAAATATGTTGGGTGAAAATGGGCATATAGCAAGAGAATGTTACGGTTTTCAGGAGAAAAAGACAGTGTTGAAAAGAAATGTCGTGTGATAGATCTTTAACCAGAGAAAGAGCTTTTTAATAAATAACATCTTGGTGCTATCTTAATACATTTTCACTGTAATTTAAATTCAGGCACTTCTTCTGAAAACATGACAACTTAACTGGTACAAAATAAATGGGTTATGTTCAGTGCTTTTTAAGAGACTCAGATGAATTAATAATAAGAGGAAACATACCACAAAAGGCTTACGCTCTCAATTTGGAATTGCTCATCAGATTCCTGAAGCTCTTTTAGAGAAAATTAAAGACTCTATCCTGCAACACGTTGTTGATGGTATGAGACAAGAGGGAACAACATATGTAGGTAAGTGCTCACCTGAATGGCAGAGTAAGGACATGCCAAGTAATTCTATTGAATAACTTTTGAACTCCAAATTATCTCCATCAAAGAAGAATGCACTAGTTTCCCATGCTATTTTAAATCTCCCCAGCATTGTATATCTCTCTTCCTTTGAGAGAAACACTTTCATTTCTACTCTGGATGACATTTCAGGAGTTTTATGGTGCTTGCTTTTTTTCTTATAGTTGGAGAAATGGCGGGACTATGAATTTCTGAGCCATAAAGCAGAAATACCAACTGGATTGTGAGGGACTTGTTAGTTGCATTGAACAGTAGGGAAGCCTGCATTGATTTGATCAGTCACTTTCCTCAAAGGGAGAGAACTGAACTATAGTAGTCAAAAGATATTCAAGTTTTTCTTTTTTACAAAACTAAAATTTCTTGTTGAACCCTGTGTATTATACCAGATGGAGACGGATGATCCTTAATTCTGCATGTTTGTTTTATTAAATTAAGCTCTACAGTTCACACCTACATTCAGTAATGAAAGTTTTATTCGGTACTGTAAAGAAATTAATTTGAAAAAAGGGATGATGCTATATGAAAGCACTGTCAGCCATCTCTTCATGCCAGTGGGTGCACTTGCCATCAAAAGCATCAGGATCATGTATGGAGGAAAGTGGAGCCCAATCCTGCAAAGTGCTAAGTGTCTCTTATTTACTAAATCAATAGGTGATGAAAATGCTCAGTACCATGTTGGAGGCACTTGCAAGGTTGACTTTTTCATCCATATCATTCTCTAAATCTGTATTTAGGAACCTAGCAATGAAGGATTCATTTCAGATCACCATATGTTTGTATGTATTGTTGCAGGTTTTACTGATAATGATTTTAGTTACTGTTTTGGTTAAATAATTTTAGATTTTGTTTAATGAAAATTCTTGGCAGTGGATTTTTGGTTGGGACTTTTGTCTTGTAATACTGAATAAAAAATACAGAAACTTCTATGCATTGCAATGTGCCATGGAGATTTCACTTAACTATGCATAGGCTTGGAACGATTAGATTTTTATCAGTAAATGATGGTAAACATCAGTGTTGCTGTACACACAAACTGATGAGAAAATATTTTAATAGGGTATAATTGAAATTAACATATAGGCAAAGTAAGTAAAATGCTGCTTGAGAACCCATTAGAGTTTGATTTAAGGACATTCACTTTGTATATATTGACGTGAGGTTGACAACTTGTATTTTAACTGTTATAAAGCTTTAACTTTTTGAATCTCAGCATCTTCTGTCATTAAATAATTATCTGATCCCACCCATAATTTCTCACAACTTTGAAAATGCAAATAGATTAAAGTTTATTTTTAAGATTTTTTACCTTCTTTGTTGAAATTATAAAAAATAAAATTGAATTCTGCTGAGCCTAGCTATTCAGTGCAACATAAATAAACAAAAGTCTCCCCTGTACAGGAGGCAGGGCTGGCTCCAGCTTTTTTGCCGCCCCAAGCGGCTAAGAAGAAGAAAAAAAAATAAAGAAAAAAGAAAAGATAAAGCCGTGATCGGCGGCACTTCAGTGGCACCTCTACTGCGCCGCTTCATTCTTTGGCAGCAATTCAGCGGCCGGTCCCTCCCTCCGAGAGGGACCAAGGGACTTGCCGCTGAAGACCCGGACTTGCCGCCCCTTTCCATTGGCCGCCCCAAGCACCTGCTTCCTGCGCTGGTGCCTGGAGCCGGCTCTGACAGGAGGCATTCTTTGGGAGCTATTTGTGCATTTTTCAAGGCCCCTTTATACCTTCAGAGTGTCTGCAATTAATGGTCTTTGTCAGAGGGCAGAATCTGCCGCTGTGTGTTTAGACTCTAGAGACACTCAAATGTTTCTGAACCAGCTCTGTCCTTCTCTAGTATCTTCAGTAATCTATGACAGAATATATTTGTTATGGCACTGCTATGCAGTTTGCTGGATTTTTATGGGATTTTAAAAGGATTGCCATAGGATTCAAACACTTTGCAGAACCCAGGTGCAGATTCCCTACAGTTTACATAAGTTTATCGCATGTTTATTGCTTTTAAAGAAAGTGAACAAACTGTTTTGAACTAGCTTGTATAGTTCTGCTTTCTGTTCAGGTGTGCTGCAAACGGGATTAGTGCGTACTAAAGATGATGTGAAAATTATAAACTTTGACTGCCACTTTGGTGACCCGCAGTGCCAGGTGAGTGAGAGATGTTGGAAACCTAAATATGCTTCATTTTCCATACCAGAATCTAATAACTTGCTACTAATATAATTTACATAATTGTATAGGATGTATATCATATCTACCACAAATATGGAAATCTACAAAAGAGCAACTTAGAGACTGTAGCAGTAACTATTAGAAATTTGCTTGTTAGCATTTATTTTCTGTGAAATGTTCATTGACTTAGTTTGCGATTGAAGTTATTGCTCAAATTCTGGTTTTCTGAGTTGTAAAGGAGCCCAGACAAATTTGTGCTAAGTAGTATCATACATCTCTACCCCGATATAATGCGACCTGATATAACATGAATTTGGATCTAACGCGGTAAAGCAGCGCTCCGGGGGGGGGGGCTGCGCTCTCCGGCAGATCAAAGCAAGTTCGATATAACGTGGTTTCACCTATAACGCGGTAAGATTTTTTTGGCTCCCGAGGACAGCGTTATATTGGGGTAGAGGTGTACTTGGTCTCTACAGGTGATAGTTGCTTTCTGCCTGTTGCTAATAATGATGGATGAAATTTTCTTAGTGATAGTAAATTTGCCAAAAAGTTTGTGTTTGGTATACTGAAAGTATCTGAATTCATGTTGAATTCAGTGAATAGTTTCAGCTGAAAAAACCCTGAAAATAAAATTCTTGGAAATATCAAAATGGTTCGGTTAGAAAATGTCAAAATGAGCTGTTTAGACAATGTAGTTTTGAAACAAATGGCAAAACAAAATGTTTCGATACAGACAGTTTTTGTTTCAAAACTAGCCAATTTTTTTGTTTGTTTTCAGACTTTTTTTGTCCAGTGACCAAACAGAAAAATCAATTATTTGCTCAGCTCTAGTGTCTGGGAATAATTGCTGTAAATTAATGTCGACTGATTTTTTTTTCCAAATCTGCAAATGTAGCAAAAATTTTCCTGTTCTCCAACACATTTTTTTGCTCATTCAGGTGGGCTTCATGTGAGTTTTAATTTTTGAAGAAAAGCTTAATAAGTCTTTGATATTTCAACAGTTAACAAAAAACATTTAACTAAATCGTTTAACATACTTTTGCAGGTAATTCTTCCACTGCTTAAAAATGACTTTTATGAAGTGATTCAAGCAACAATTGATGGCAAACTCTGCAGCTGCATGCCAGCTTGGTCAGAAAACCGTACTGCTGTGTCTGTGGTTATGGCAAGTGAAGGGTACCCAGGAGACTATGTCAAAGGCATGGAGGTAACAGGTAACTTTTTTTTTTTTATTCCAGACCAGGACTACTGCAAGGGGCCCAGTGAGTTTGATTTAGTAGAGAGCCATATTGTTACTGGTCCTGAGGAGGTGCATGGAGGAAAGGAACCTTCCTTCATCACTCCTTGCACCCGTGCATGGGGACAGTCATTGTCATGGAAATGTAGGTTTACACACCTGTCCAAAGTACCACAGGGGCTTGCAGTTTCAAACAGCACTCTCTAAGGACCAGACTGTGGCTTGGAGTTGGGATGAGAAGAGGGCTCTAGTGCAGTGGTTTTCAAACTGTGGGTCGTGGAATGTAAGGCTCTGGGTCGTGGCGACTCTGGTCAGCACCGCTAACCGACCCGGCCATTAAAAGTCTTGTCAGCAGTGCTGCCTAGCTAAGGCAGGCTAGTCCCTACCTGTTCTGACACAGTGCTGTGCCCCGGAAGCAGCCAGCAGCAGGTACGTCTCCTCAGAGGGGGGGCCATGGGGCTCCATGCATTGCCCCCGCCCCGAGCACTGGCTGCACACTCCCATTGCCCAGTTCCCGGCCAATGGGAACTGGGGGGGGATGGTGCCTGCGGGCGAGAGCTGTGCAGAGCCGCTTGTGCACCTCCGCCTAGGAGCTGGACCTGCTGCTGGCCGCTTCTGGGGCACAGCACGGTCTGCGGTGCCCAGACAGGCGGGAAGCCTGCCTCTGCACCCCGGCTGCACCACTGACTGGGAGCCACTGGAGGTAAGCCTGCACCCCAACCCCGACGCCCCAATTCCCTGCCCAAGACCTGAGCCCCCTCAAACCTGGAGCCCTTTCCTGTACCCCAAACCCCTCATCCCCAGCCCCACCCCAGAGCCCTGCACCCAGAGCCCTGCACCCCAACCCCTGTCCCAGCCCAGAGCCCTCTCCCACGCCCGAACCCCTCATTTCTGGCCCCACCCCATAGCCCTCACCCCTGCACCCCAACCCTCTGCCCTAGCCCTGAGCCCCTCCGACACCCCAAACCCCTCATCCCTAGCTCCGCTGGGTCATGGGCATCAACAATTTTCTTCAACTGGGTCGCCAGAAAAAAAGTTTGAAAAACACTGCTCTAGAGCATTAGGAATTCCTGGTGGAATTCTGGCTGACCCATTCAGAATTCCTCCAGAGACTTTGGGGGGGGAGCACAAACTGGAGTATCACCTTTTCATGTGTGCTCTTGTACTAGCTCAGCTTTGCTGGCTTGTAGGTAAGGTGAGCCAGTTGTCTCAGCTGGACAACGCCATGCTAAAATTGGAACACCATCACCTTGGCCTGTGTAATACTGAAAATTATTAACCTTTTTAACAGGAGCAGAGTGCACTTCCCCTACACCAGTGGTTCTCAACCAGGGGTACATGAACCCCTGGGGGTACTCAGAGGTCTTCCAGGGAGTACATCAACTCCTCTAGATATTTGCCTAGTTTTACAACAGGCTACATAAAAAGCACTAGCAAAGTCTGTACAAACTAAAATTTCATACAGACAATTACTTGTTTATACTGCTCTATTATACGATACATTGAAATGCAAGTACAATATTTATATTCCAATTGATGTATTTTATAATTATATGGTAAAAATTAGAAAGTAAGCAATTTTTCAGTAACAGTGTGCTGTGACACTTTTGTATTTTTAGGTCTGATTTTGTAAGCAAGTAGTTTTTAAGTGAGGTGAAACTTGAGGGTACACAAGACAAATCAGACTCTTGAAAGGGGTACAGTAGTCTGGAAAGGTTGAGAGCCACTTCCCTACACCATATCTGGTTTGCAAGTCCTTCCTCTGCACCAGCTAGCAAGCCTGAGCTCTTCCCATGCAACCAGTGTCTTTATTTTGCTTATCCCTGTGGTGCTCTGGAGAAGTGTATATTTCAGTTACAGGAACCCTAAATCTACACATGAGTAATGACAAAAAACAGTAAACGCAAAGAAATCCCTGGTTAAGTTCGACACTTTATTCGTAATCCATTGCTTAGTGTGTATAGATGTTTCCCCCTGCAACACCTAAACTCTTCAGGACAGAAGGAAATGAGAATCTTTGCATATCACAACTAGAATATGATTGCCCTGTGTGTTTTTCTGTTGCTTACACTGTATGTAGAATGTGAAAAGCATATGCCAGAATAAAATGTTATCTCTTAAAAAACCTTAGGCACAAGAGTTAATTTGAAATGAGAGTCCTGAAGCACAGCAGTGGCGTAGTCAGCTT